CAAGGACATGATACAGACTGCAGTCGAAGAGGAACAGAACGGTCAGCTTGACAAATCTGCATCCCGGTCTATATTCCAGGATATTCTTCAGAGCAACCTACCGCCCAGTGACAAAACCCCTGCTCGCCTTTCGGCGGAGGCGGGCTTGCTTGTCATGGCGGGAACTGAAACGACGGCGAGATCATTAGCCGTGATTCTGTTCCTGCTTCTTGACACCCCACATGTCTTGGATCGAGTGAGGAAGGAGCTGGCGCAGTATATGCCTCGGCCTGATTCGCGCATTTCACTTGCTGAGCTAGAAGCCATTCCGTATTTCGTGAGTTGATGCCGCCATGAGAATGATTCCCACGACAGCATATGTATTAACCATGTACTCTAGTCTGCTATGATAACCGAAGGCGTGAGGCTGTCTCACGTTGTTTCGAGTCGTATGCCGCGATACGCCCCCGAGGAAGAGCTCAAATACAAGGATTGGACGATTCCAGCTGGCGTAAGGAGAATAACTCAAACCCCTATTCAGCTCATGTTGCTAACAGACCAATCAACACAACAGACAAGTGTCATGCAATCACACTACCTCCTTCATACTGATCCCACAATCTTCCCAGAACCATATACATTCGAACCACAACGGTGGATTGACAACCCTTCGTTAAGGGCAAACTACTTCTTGGGTTTCGGCCGGGGTACCAGAGTGTGTCTCGGTATCAATCTTGCTAACGCAGAGTTGTATCTCACAGTCGCCTATATCTGTGCCCGCTTCGACATGGAGCTATTTGAGACTGAAAGGGGGCGTGATGTAGATGTGGTCATGGATTCTGTTATTGGACAACCTAGTCTGGAGAGCAAGGGGATCAGGGTCAAGATCACAAGAGACAGACTCAAGGACGAGCAAGCTTAGAGGGTGTTGGATCGTCCAAGGCTTTGACGATCGATATCATTGACACCGACAAATGAATTTTTATCGCATTTCCGAAGTCACAGCCGTGGGCTATAATTGCGCACACAGAGTGCGTTTCCCTGCACAGTGCACGTGGGTTGTAGTCCTTAGTCCCTGTATCTCAGCGCCTGGCCATAGAAACTAAACTGGCCCATGATTCATGTCGTTTGCTGAATATGGAAGGTCTCCATTCAAGAATAATTTCCCTTCCGAGTTAGATCCGAGTTGATGTAATTTACCTAACCGGGAAGGCTCTGCCATCTCTCAAAGCGGTTATACCCATTCAGGCGAAATGTGATGGAGCTGACTTGATTGATCGACATACAATGCGCGTATATCTCATGTTGGTGATCTCCCGAGAAAGCTCTTCACACTCTCCCCTCTCAGAACTGTCGGTGATTTTGTAAAACAATGACCAACTACACGCTAAAAGGCAAGGTAGCCCTCGTCACCGGCGCTGGGTCGGGTATCGGACATGCGACTACTGAGCTGCTCCTCAAAGCAGGTTGCTCTGTGATGTTAGCCGATTTGAATCTCAGGCCCGAAGCCGAGTCGACATTGAATGCGTATGCCCACTCGACAAGTCAGCCCGGAGCTCCGAGCGCCTTGTTTCAGAAAACCGATGTCACAAACTGGGCTCAAATCCAAAGCCTGTGGGACAAAACACTCGAAGTCTTTGGTCGAGTCGACATTGTTGCAAGCGTGGCGGGTGTTTATGAGCCACCCTGGAGCAGCTTCTGGAATGCGCCAGGCATCTCGGCTGAATCTCGCGATCCTGCTGATGCGACAGTCGGCCAATACTCTACGATAGCCGTGAACTATGTGGCGCCTGTACGTTTGGCGCAGATTGCCATCGACTACTGGACTCAGCACCGCGAGATCGAAGGTAACTTCTTGGCAGTGGCCAGTCTCGCGGGTTACCTGCACTCCATCGAAACGCCCCTGTATATGTCAAGCAAAGCGGGACTCATCAGCTTCGTGAAGTCAATGGGCGCGCTTCGCGACATCTGTGGGATCAGATTCGCTGCGTTGTGTCCCGGTGCAGTCCTTGTAAGTTAAGGCCCATTCGGATACAGCGTGAATGACCCGTCCCCAGGCCGAGGCTGACAATACAGACTCCTATCTTCGAACCCGAGTGGAACAAGAAAGTGACCGAAGATGATGTCACTCTTTCGCCCCATGAGTGTGCTGAAGTCCTTTTGCGGGTGCTGCAAGAGCCCCAATGGGGAAATGGTAACATCGTCGAGACGCAGAAGGTCGGTAGCAAGGACTCATTTGAGATCGACGTTCGTGATGTCCATATGGAGGCTTTGTATCCCAAACTGTTTGGACGTCCGAGCGAGAGGAGCAAACGAAATTTGTTAGCTAGTTCCTTAGCTATTGGTGCAAGGGCCTTTTCGCAACCTTACACCCCACAACCTCCACCTTACCGTCCAACCGAACTCCCCCACACCGCAACGTGAAACCCTGTTGTGCTGTCCACGTACTAGTTGTAGTAATTGAACCGTTGAGATTGAGGCTTCCGTTAGACTTGCTTTCGAGGGCTGAGCCCACAACATTCAGACGAGAGGAACTGTAACCTTTGGGTTGATTAGATTGTTGAAGATCGTCATACTGTACCTGGACAAAATTGAACTATGGTCTCCCACAGCGACTCAGGCAGCGATAGGTAATCTGTTAAAGCCAGGGTGTTGAAATCGGCGGTGTCAAACGGTCTTATCTTGAAGGTCCAACGACAACGGGCGTTGGATTGAGGAGGACAATTAAAACAGTAGCGTTGATAGCGAGGGCGCTTAGTGTGCATGAGAAAGAAGCATATAAAGTTTGAAAAGAAAGAAGGCGCAGATGACGACAGCGTTTAAAAAGCGGAGCGTGTAGTACGAAAGGAAGCTGAGAACGAGGGAAGCGTTTATGTGAGAACATTTAAGTGAGAACGTTTAAGTGAGACCGGTTAAACAAAGCACGTTTAAGCACGTTTAAGCACAAGCGTTTTTGTGAGAACGTTTTTGTGAGAACGTTAAATCAAGGCACGTTTAAGCACGTTTAAGCACAAGCGTTCAAGTGAGAACGTTTAAGTGAAAACGGTTAAACAAAGCAAATGTGAAATAAAGCACGTTTAAACACAGGCGTTTATGTGAGAACGTTTAAACAAACAAAGCACGTTTAAGTGAGCACATTTGAGTGAGAACGGTTAAGTGATAACGTTAAATCAAAGCACGTTGAAAGAACGCATGTTTAAACTCAAGCGTTCAAGTGAGAACGTTTAAACAAAAAGCACATCGATAAGGAAAGCGGAAGTCGTTGGTTGGTCAAGTCGGTGGTTGTTGAAGAAGCCTTCAACGATAGTGCCAGCACGTTCTTCGATCGTGTCCAAGTATTGCTTCTATTAGGTCTACCTCAGAGAGACCTGCCATCTAATGCGGTGATATCTCAACGGCAGTTACTTTACCGCACGGTCACCCCGCCATTACACTCTTCTTAAACGATACACGTGCATGTGCCACGCATACTTATAATTGGATCTTCTTCAACTATATTGGCCATATTCTTAAAATGGTCATCCTTTATGCCCTGTGGGCCATCCAGGGCCATTCCACCACCGATTTCCCTCGCATGGAGTAAACCACCGCTAGTGACCTGCGAGTCAGTTCGGTGAGGCTATTGACGGGCTTTAGTCGTCTTCAACGGTCACACTGACATCCTGGTAAAAGTCAGTAGCCAAACACGACATTCTGGTATTTCACTCACCGTCCAGTAATCTCGAGGAAAGGAGGATTGGAAAATCCGTCGGTCGCCTTGACGAGAGTGGCGGACAACAACAATGTGTACTACCTCCAGTCCCACCCTCTTTAGGATTCTTGATAGGAGTGTAGGCATGGTCTCACAAGTAAAGAAAGGACTGCAGATACAATAGAACTGAAATGATATCTAGTAATCTATCCGTGCCTGGGGACAGCTGTGTGCGCTATGACAAACTAACAATCGCTGCTCTATAGACTTATATGTATATTGGCATGAACAAGATTATGGTCATCTGCGCCATCGATAATCTCGCCGTGGCTTCTTCTCGTGTCTCTGTGACGGTCACGTCACCACGTCGACATGGTATGTAACCTTGCACGGAGAGACGACAGCGTGTTCTTTTTCGGGCCCGTTCAGCGATCCGGTCTTCAACGTAAAGGCCGCCCTGGCCCGCAGAAACCAACGTTGTCAAATCGACAATGCCTTGGTCGCCTGGTCGACTAAAGCAGTATAACTGTACTAATTTGCTTGTCTTCCAGATAAATCGAGACTACAGGGCTTGATTCATTCGATCATCATAGTTTCAGGACCTACCTGGTAACACTCATTTTTCCTTGAGCTCAGCCAGCTAAGCCATGGATGCTCCAGTCAGTACAATACCACTGCAGTATCTCTGACAAGGCTCTCCTAACTCCGACAGGAAACACTTCGTATCCTTGCCGCAGTGAATTCGCGGGCAATTCGTGCAGAGAAGATGCAGGGAAAGCTCGACCAAGACCTGACCACCACGCGGAAGGCCCTGACGCAGGTCACTGACGAACTAGAGCAAGTGAGCAAATTGGCTGATCTTATTTATGAGGTCAGCCAGCGGATGGGAGCTGTAACGGACTATCTTCTGAAAGAACACGGTATCCAAGAAAGTTCCCGAGGCTCGGAGTCATTTGAGGTCATACTCAACAGCGTGGTCGAGAAAACAGAGGCGCAGGAGCCTAGAAAGGATGCAGAAACGGTGGACGTCGGCTCGAGAAGCAATGTTTCAGGACCCGCAGAAATGGGCAGCTAAGTTATACTTGGATAACGGTCAACCAACGTGTAAATATTACCTACATGCTAGCCGTTGGGTTTCCTGCGGGCTCGCGCATTTACCCGTGTTTGTCAACGAGATCGAACTCCGCACTACATAGCATGACAACTCGCTTTGTTCCTTTGATGAAGGCAGTATAAGAGGAAGCTAATTCTGCTCTGTTGTTTATTCCTGGAAGTCTATAATCTCGGTCTCCGCGTATTGTATAGTACAGTACACCCTTCTTTAGTAGTGATGAAAGATCGAAAGCATTTATCCCGTGCCCGTGCACTCACGCGAGATTTAGAGCGGGCAATGGATAAATTCGAACCAGCCCTTGCCTCAACTACATCGCAAGCCATGCCGGTGGCTGGTATCCTTGGACCCGCGTTCGAATATGACCGTGCGCGGAGGTCGACTGCCCCATCTCCAGAGATGATGCCCACTCCGAATCTCAATCAAGACAAGGGTGACTTGGAGTATTCAAAGTCGGGTAGGTCAATTCGGTGGGCACTGTGGATCGTTCCACAATGTATATTTTTTGACTGTTCTTCTTAACAACAGATGCACGGGATGGTGGACAACCCTCATTGGCGGATTCTGTCGACAAGGCTGCGGAATGGCTCGAGCAACTTTGTCGTGTTTGAGTTGCAGAAGGGGTGAGCAGGGCCATTGGGGTAGTGAGGATGATGCACTCTGTCATGCTACCAATGTTGTGCTCGTGCACTATCGATTTCGTAGGGAGAGGAGACCATCGGTAGCGACCACATGACCTTGGATCCCTTCTGACACGAGAACCCAATCCAACGCATCAAAAGACAACTTCTAGCCGTGCCTTGGTTGTAGCCTTAAATGGGGCTTCTTTGGCCTTCACAATGTCATCCTGATGTCTTTGTCTCTGACTTCGAAACACCAACGTAACCGGCGTTCCAGGAATCAATCCAGCGCGTTGTATGGATGCCGCAGGAGATGATATAGCTAAACGATGCTGTACCAGTTGATCCATGTCATAGATGTTTGGATTTAGGGTTGTGGGAGTAATGTCTGCTTGATTGAGCTTGGCATTCCATTCTTGAATCCATCGTTGAGTACACTGCTTGGCTCGGGAGTTATCGGGCCTGCATTTTGCACATAACATAGATTTTGCTGCACTCATAAGAACTGATTCAGGAGGAAGGCTGTCAGGGTCTCCTCGGAACAGGCCTAATTGGATCGCACTATTGATACGAGAAATCTTTGGCACGTCGTTCCGACATTGAATTCCATCGTCCCTGAGGCCCTGGCATGTTGGTTGATGGTAAGGGTTTCCAACAATCTGGCTGAGTGTCGATTGAAAGATAGAGTCCCGATGCATGTTGAAAGAGAGCTGAACCGGAAAATAGTACATTTGCAAAAGAGGATGACACTCATTATATAGCGTCGTGGGTAGTAAAATACCTAGATTGAGCAAAAGTACCTCAAAAGCCACCAGGTGGAACTCCTGTGACATCAGGCCAGGTCATGGCTCTAGTCTTGACGAGAGAAATGAGCAAAATGATTTCATTGCTTAATTATCTGGAGATTCATTGAGTTCCTCGGGGTAAATGATTACCGCAAGCTCAACTGCTCCTAGGGCCATGGTCGACTGCTCCGGGATGTAGGTACAACCCACCCGTTATCTCAATCAGCATGTGCTAGCGTTATCGCCCTCATAGCCATTCATTGTATCTGTTTCAGCAGGCAGCATTGCGTATGTTATTTGGGAGACTCCAAGAATAGACTTGTGATTTATGAATTTAAATACTCTTGCGCGCTCGAAGAGACCGTCTTCATCAATCTCTTTTTCTCGAGCTCTCTTGCCAAATCAACAACTATCTATACTCATCATGCCGTCATCTCAGGAGCGATGGGATCCTCTGGTCATCTGTGAAATGGGTCTTCGCAGGCACCAGCCGACTTGTTGTGGCCTCACCAAGAAAGGGACATATTGCAAACTCTACCCGACAGTGAATGATGTTGATGAAGGTCGCAATAAGCTGAAAGCCCTTGCTAGAAGGCAATTTGATCCTTCCGCCCTCCCTATCCTGCGCGACATTGCGTCTCACTTTCTATGTCGGCGATGGCATCGGACACGCCAGGCCGACCAAATCGGACAACAGTGGTATGATGCGGCTGTCGGTAATCTGCCTTACATACCAGTGGCTGCGCCTGTGCGACCGGAGACAACCCGTATCACCAGACGACATGTCACACGCGATATGCTGCGAGAGAATAATGTACCCTGGCGAATTTCCTCAACCCGTCCAGCCACTTATTCTATTGAACGCGGATCGCACTCGTTGTGGCTCAAGAGTTTCAACGAGTGGCCCGCCTCAGAACACATGAATTGCCTGATCTGCCTCCAGGAAGCCCAAGCCGAGCCTGTAGTTCTGAAATGTGGAAGATGCGTTTCGTTTGTCCATTTGGATTGTATGGAAACTTGGCTCGGATTTTGTCCACCTGGGAATAATCCCCCTTGTCCAATATGGTACGTCAATTAACACTCTTTGATTGTGGCTTGTGTGCTGTCGCTGACTGAAAAACAGTAAACATAACGGAGCTTTTGACGCGTTCTTTTGCTCCTTGAGGATAGACGGCCCTAGTGGTGAAACACGGGTCGACGGATCGGTGTCTTCCGAGCAACGTATCCATCGATCAACCCGTTCCGTTGACCGTTCCGTGGATAGGTCCTCTCCGGATCGCTCGGCCACGGATGGGTTAGCGGTGGAAAACCAACCAATTGTATCGACTCAACGACGGTCAGCTCGACTTGCACAACAAACCGACCCTTCAGGGTTATCTGACCTATCTGAGCTCCGTCGGTCGGCGCGGAGGGGACAGCCTCCAGAACGATTCCAGTAGTGGGGTGTGGCACGCATGGTTTGGTGAGGGAGTGAGGTAACGATACTGAGGGAAAACCCGGGCATGCAGCGATATCCCGCCTCCTTCCAGTGCGCATTTGTTGTATTCAATCAACATCAATCCTAAATCATCCATGCCAAGAGCAATGCGTCGTTTGTTGGAGTGTCTTGTCGCGTGTGTACTTACTACGTAGCAAATTCAAGATGTTGGCCCAATGATACAGTACTCCGGCACTGTCCGAGCTAAGGGCATTTTGGCTGTTTCTTTCATGTCCACGAACCACCATGTATGGTGCACCCTCCCTATTTCTTGTGTCGTTGGATGGGTTGCAGATTATAATTCTGTCAACATGTGACGAGGACAGGCCTTGAACGACCCGCACAAAGAGTTGCCATCGCTGTGCAAGCAGTCGCGCAAACTTCTACCGACCGTGTGAATATCGGACGGTCGGAGAATCAAACGTGCCCGCTCATTTCGGTTCCCTCCCGAGCAGACGTGTCCCGGATCAGATTTGCAGACGCTGGAGTATAAAGTGATCGCACCATAACCTGGGTACATATCACTGAACTGGCAACCCTCTCCATACGGCGCCTGCAAAATGGACACCAATCAGGCTCACCCCGCTCGACCACGGACTATGTGGCTTGGTCCAAAGCGAAAGCGCGATTTGGATCTCGAAATCGAACAGGCCTCTCGTTCACGGCCATGCCCATCCGACTCCCAGCCCGAAACATTCACCGCAGGATCCCCCTTGGCTCGTCCCGCTCCCATTCAGCGAAAGAATCCAAACGTAGTACCAAAGATCCGACAAGTCGACGAAGATCCATGGCTGACCTACGAGTCGACCGTTCGAATTTTCGGGCGGCCAATCTTCCTCGCCCGTCTCCGAAGCAACAAGGCCGAGTTGGTCAACATCCAACGCCTTGAAAAGGAGCCCTCTTCCGCCGAGTCGTTAGTGGAGACGATGCACCAGGTTGCCCATCGAAGCTTCCCCAACCTACTCGAGCATTATCGTCATGGAGGTCAGGATTTCCTGGTGTGGGAAGCGGTTGAGTTATCCGTAGGCCAGGTACTGGGGTCGCGATGCTCCATCGACGAAGGAGCCCTCGCCGCGATTGTTTGGCCGGTGGGTGTGGGGCGTGCGGGCTGTTTCCCTCCTCTTTCCGAAGGAAAGGGTCACTGCTATTGAGAAACTGATGGCTAATGATTATTAGGTCCTGAAAGGAATAAAGCATCTCCGTGGGCAGGGCAGAGTACTGGCTACCATGAGTGCCGACACGATCTTTCTCACGGAGTCCGGTATCGTCAAAATTGGTGAGTGAGGAGCAGTCTAGGTTGCGAACACCTTCGGGGGGTGATACTGACGAGGAATGTGTAGCGGGGGCGGAGCACAGTTGCCAAATCGACGCGACCGAGATGGACGCCGCAACTCTGAAGCTGATGGCCCTGGCCGACGTGGTCCAAAGCTTGATGACAAGAAGCTCTCCGGGAACAAAATGGAGCCCCGAGGCCCAGAGTCTCCCCGAGGATCTGAACCGACTGTCGGTTGATGAGCTGCTGCGAGTGTGATCCCACCTGTCTGTCATGCAAGACTGCGGCTGACCAGGCAGAGCAAATTCTTCGAGCAATTGGGGGCTGGGGGGAATTGAAAATGCTAGTGAACGTGGTAAACAAAGATGCGTGCCACGAAATTGATTTTCTCGGCTGCGCATGAGAAGCGCATGATGTTCGCGCGTAGTATCCGTGCGGGAAATCCCGTCGCGTGGATGTGGTGTCTTTGCCGTGAAAATCTAGCCGCATTAGGATTGTCTGCGTAGAGACCTCTGATATACTTTCTGATGTCGCTCAACTTGGTCACTGGAGTAACTTCCCTGCAAAGTTTCTTTCTGCTTGGTTTTTGGGGGTTGCGAGGTATTGGTCAGGTCACTCCCCACGGCTTGGCGTTATTGGGCGAAACTCTTCTCTTAATCCCAAGTATATATATATCTCTATGATCGTCTCCTTTTACTTTTCTGTCTAAACCCAAAACGCACACTTGTCGTTGCTAGAACAGCTCATCCGCGGCTGATCCTTCTCAGGAGGTTTATATATCATCAGTGATAGCTTATCGACGCGTGAAAACGCGTGGTGGTTGGGGTACAGCCGCGTTTTCACTATGAAAAATATGAGATTCCTATTATGGGGGTTCAACTTGGGATCCACCCACTCCTGCTTGTCGAGGTTACGATAAGATAAGTAGACTCGATAAGATAAGTGGGAATTCCTACGGATGCTCGCATCTAGGCTGCGGCATATCGTACGATAACGATAATGACCCGTTATCGTTATCCGCAAATTGCGGATTGCGGATAATGGATCTTTATCATCATCGTCGTTGCAGATATCCGCGGATATCTTGACGATAGTTTGGATATCAGCAAACCATCCGCACTAGCATAAAATTCGCTAATATCCTATTCTGGACCATCAGGTAATACTTATGAAGCTGACAAAACAATATCTTACATCTGAATCTTTACATATTTGGTCATGACAGTACTCATCCCCTATTTCCTTCACTTCTCCTGAGAAATAATAAGAAACAGTATTGTATTCTTGAATAAATATCTTCCGCATAATAAATTGGATTTAAGTATATAGCCAGCGAGTTGTAGTCGCCTGTAATTTTATAAATTAAGTAATGGGTCGTGGTTGGGTAGAGATATATGTTTGATGCTGAAGGAATGTAGTACATTTTCCTGTAAAGTCCTAATTCAATATCCAGATCCATCAATAGTATAATTTTGACCTTGAGAATAGTACGGATAGATTCGTTAGCCCGCAATTCATTTATATGTTCACTTATCTCAGCATGTTTACACACAAAAGTAAGGCGCAATTTAGATTTGAAGTTTGGAACTGGCGGACTTGGCATTCTTTTTGGTGTTGGTGACGCGGATAATTGTTGGATAATCCGAAGATAGTCGGCGGATTATCGGTGGATTATCGTCAAATATCGTCAGTTATCGTCTAAATCCCCACATCCGCTTAATACATACCCAATTAGCATAGAGTATTATCGTGAGCACGTCGACATCGCGGGCGCACACGTTTACCTACGCACCAATTTTTCCACTAAATTCCTAGTAAGTCTCTTCCTGGTATACTCGATCGTTCAACACTTGGTACCTGGTCCTCTACTCGTCATGTCTTATTCCCAAGCATCAAGGAGCCAATATGAGGCATCTCAACACGCCAACTCATTCATCGATTCAGACCTTCCACAATCAGATGAATCCTTAGACGCACTAGGCAGTCAGAGCATAGCACAATCGACTCCTGTCTCAGACACTCCCCCTCCCCCTCAATATCCTCGTGCCCCCGACTTACTACAGCGCGTCGGCAAACTCTTTCAACCATCTTATATTCTCTACAACTGCGACAAAACCGATCCAATGATGGAGACATCTCGGATACAGTTTTTGAAATGGTGGCTAATGACTGAGTTTGGCAGCAAGAAAGAACTGCAGAAATCTATTAGATGGGATACTATACAGAAAAAGTCTGATGTTTGGAGCTCATTTGATCAGGTTGCAAATGCGCGGACTGGCGAGCCTAAGGTTATGTGCAACCGCTGTCAAAGTGTGGTTGTTCACCCAAGGTTCAATCGTTCTGGTCCCTCTCCCATGAAGAACCATCTTAATAGTGCGTACTGCACTCAGTCGCGGAAGACTACAAAGCAAGGTATAGACCAGCTTCTCCGAGAGATGGTAAGTCTATCCTTGATCTAATCTATATTGTACACTAATTTTCTCTATCTCTACCTAGCCGCATCAATCAACAAGCACGGAATTCAGCCAGACAACCCTCCAGAAGAAGATCCTCAAGTTTATCACGACCACCCGTCTCCCATTCCGCACTGTTGAGCACCCAGAGTTTAAAGAGCTTCTGCAATACACCAGGCTCGCCAAATCAGAGCTCAATATCCCGTCCGCCCGCAGTTTAAGACGTCTTTTGGATAATGAAGTCCAGGAACAGCAACAAAGCGTGCTCAGTAAGCTTCCACCTGGAAGCTCTCTCTCTATTGCACTTGATTGCTGGACCTCTCCGTTTGGCCAGGCATTTATGGCAATCACTGGATACTTCCTCGACCAGGACTGGAGTTACTGTGAAGTTCTTCTTGGATTTGAGCATATCCAGGGATCACATACTGGGACTCAGCTAAGTGAGACTGTTATCCGAATCTTCCAAGAGCATGGTATCACCGACCGAGTATTATCAATCACAACTGATAATGCATCAAACAACAACACAATGATTCAAGGCGTTCAAGAGATGGTTCAGTCCCAGGCTCTTCACAATACCTCTGTTTTCCGAGTACCATGCATTGTGCACGTTATACAACTTAGCCTAAAAGACCTCCTTGGAAAGATCAAAGCGAACCCAAAGAATGCAGAGGCCGAGTCAGAGTGGTCAGATGAACGTACGAAGTCGCTACAGTCCGCTCCGGGTCACGCTTCAGGGAATATCGTGGCTACTTTGAAGAAGGTAAATGTATCATGTTATATTCCGAGGATATAATTGCTAAACTACTATAGATTCGAGAGCTCGCTGTATTCATTACCGCCAGTCCTCAGCGCCAAGAGGCTTTCCGGGCGCTCCAAACAACAGAGCCCAAGCTTCTACCGATTCAAGATGTTCGTACACGCTGGAATTCTACCTTCTTAATGCTCGAACGTGCCAAGAAACTACAGCGAGCCTTCCACCAGTACTGTTCAACCCACCAATACGTTCAGTTTCAGCTCGGTCAAGAGGAATGGCGCCAAGTGGAGTATCTCCTTTTGGTCACGAAGCCTTTCTTTCATTACACCAAGATCTTATCCAAGACTCAAGATGTTACTGTTCATTCGGTCTTCAGCATCTATAAAGAGCTCTTTAGCCATCTTCATGATGTTGCGGAGTTACTAGAACGCAAGACTGTCCCTTGGAAAAAGAGAATGCTTCAGGCACTACAGGCAGCGAAACAGAAACTCTCCAAGTACTACAGAGCGACCGACGGTGAATCATTTGGCACAGTTTATGCAATTGCAACTATTCTGTGTCCATCGAAGAAGCTTCGGTTCTTTGAAGGCGATGACTGGAAAGAGAAAAACGAGAAGGGAGAAGATATTAATTGGATGGAGATCTATCGGGATAAACTACAGAAGGAATTTGACCAATATCAACAACGCATTACCCGCCACAAGGAGCCCTCTCAAGCCCAAGTCTCTCAAGAAGCCGACGAAGAGGAGCTTGATCTTATGATGGATTTGCACGCTAATTTACAAAGTGAAATTGACCGACCGGAGGATGAGATCACACGATATCTTGCAAAGGGTTTGTATGCTTCCCTGCTTTATTATACGGCTTTCCAGCTAATTTATCCAATAGGTCTTACCAAAGGAAAGCCAAGGATGTTCTGGAAGGAGCATGAGCATGAATATCCAGTGCTTGCAGCGATGGCACGGGATATTCTGGCAACACCTGCTAGTGGCGCTGGTGTTGAGCGGCTCTTCAATTGTGCTCGTGATGTCTGTCACTATCGCCGGGGGCAGCTTAAACCAGAAACAATCAGATCTCTAATGCTTCATTTGTTCGCATCGAAGTTCGAGCTTCAACAAACCGAGCTCGAGATGATCAAGGAGTATCTCTCTAGTGGAGAGGCTGCCATACTCGATCAGACATGGAAGCCAACTCCGTCGCTTAACGATATCGAGCCAATCAGTGAAAACGAAGAAGATGGTAACCAAGCGGAGGATGGGTCGGATGATTCAGAAAATGATTTGGGAGATAATCATACAGTCGAGCAGGCGACTCCTACACTGGTTACAACCCAGGGCAAGCAACCACGGCGCAAGCGGCCTCATAGTGCCGTTGAGCCTCAGGATGATGGTGATAATGATCTCCCGCTTCCTGAAATGCCAACTGAAGGGTCCACGCAGGGGAGATCGGGGAGGATTCGGAAGAAGCCAAAGCAGCCGGATGGATTTGAATTTGATAACCTGTAATATAATCTTGAATAATCGAATGCTATTGCAATAAAGCGAGACAAAGTAGATTAATTTGGAGAAAAGATCGTAGGCCACTAATTCGCGTGACAAATATACAATCAATTACACATTGAATACTCCAAAAATACTGGGGAAATGCATAATTTATGCAAACTCGTTCAGGTCATGAGTCTTAGCATGTTTGTAATATTTGTTATCGTACGATAATCCGCGGGTATCCGCAAATGAAAATATAATTATCGTATCGTATCGTTGCGGATAATTCGATAATGAATTTATATCGTTATCCGCAATTTACGGATACGATAATCGATTATCTGCCGATAATTTGGATAGTGCCGCAGCCTAGGTCGAGCACATCCTATTATGACCTCGCTTTCCGCAGTCTGGTCGGACAGACCCACAGCTCAACACAACCAACACTACACTAAAGCGAGGCTAGGAAAAAAAGTCCATGATTTCGAGTATGAAATTGTAGGCGCTTTTCGGTGATTCAACGTTAAGTCACTCATAGGTGAGGTATCAGAATAAGAAATATAAGCCTATCATTGCGGATTAAATAGTACGTAGTGCCTCAATTTAAGAGGGCCGTGAAGGATTTAGTAGTGAGCCAATGTTTCTTGGCCTACTTAGTATCCCATTTTAACACGACTCTTACTCGTCTCTCTCGCTAAGCATCTAAAGGCATCAAACTATACAAATAGACGCTATAAAGAGAAGCCACGGGTTTAATAGGTCTTAAATAAGAGAGGTGTCCTTAACGCGATCTACTAAGCAGAGCACTTACGCAACAGAAGGAGCCGAGAAGCCTATAAATACGTCCTCTACCCCCGGCAATTTACTCTACATTTTATTCACTTAACTCTACAAAATCGAGTAGGCTTATGTCTAAGCCACTTAATAAGTTCTCCCCTTTGACCTAGAACCGAATTTCCACTGTGTTAACATTGATAGGATATATCGAGGATATAAGCTAGATAGTGCCTATAAGAGATATAGGTATGATTCCCACTAGATACACTACTATTTATATTAGCCGGTTAAAGATACGAGTTTTAGATTAGCTAATCAAGGTGTCTATGCGTAGATGCCTCCGCCATAGTAGTCGACTAGCTGATCTACTATACAGCCACTATGTGTATTCCTAAGAAAAAGCGCGAATATCCGCGTCGTAGGTATGTGAATCTTAGCCTAACTTATCTGAATTCTACTGATCCTAAAGACGATACGATTCTAATAGAACCGATATTCGACCATAATACACGAGCGCAAGGACCGTAACTCTTTACCGTCTCTTCGTCCTAGTCTTACCACTAGAACATATGAGTCATGGATTAGCTCGTCGATCTATAAGCTAATAAACGATAGTGAATATTGACGTCGCACCAGAGGGCCCCGAGGATATAGCACCCCTATTAGTGCTCTACACAAAGTCATGGCCTACACACCTATTCTAGTCCCGTTGCTTCAAAGCACATATTATACCTTAGGTAAAGAACGTAAATCAGAGGAGCGGGCTAATAATAGTTAAGGACATTTGATTGTGAGCTTGCTACATAGAAGCTTGAGACGTCCATTCTTCCTAATAATGTGAGTGATTTATCGCGCCCTTTGCTGCGCTATATCAGGTGTTTACGAATTTTTATGCTCTAAATCACGAAGACCATTACTAATTTTTATGCTATTATACATAGGAGCAGCCTATCGCCAATGTGAAACATCCCCGTTAGGAGTCTTATCGCCGGATCGGAGATAAGAGTAAGGTGGCACTACGACGCGTGCTCTATCGCGTCTTCCGCCTCAGCCTTACCGCCTTCACACCATGATTGTGTTCGCCGTCCCTATCGCGAGGTCTTATCCCATTACGACTATACAATTTCTTGTCATAGGTGGGCTTATCACGCGCTTTTGGCTCTAAAGTTGCCCGGTGCACCAGGCGCGGCTTCTTCGAAGCGACAGCCGGAGAGTGCGACGAACTAGATACAACATCATGCTAAATGCCATGATGGTGACTACATTGATAAAGACAATTATAAGTGATCTCGTCGGTAAGATAGGACCACGAAGCTAATTGATCGTCTCGCCTTAAGCGAACATTTTACGAACTTTATAAATAGGTAAGTTATAATAACTCGTCTAAGTGGTAAGGCCTTACTAACTCGGATCATACAATAGGAGGTACCTTATATTCCCGTCTCTCAGGTAGAATTCGAGGCGAGTAAATACCTTATCTACTCGAGCTCCCCTATACCGATCCGATCGCATACTATCTATCATTTCTATATAACTACTAGTGGCATCGATGATAAGCTAATATAAGGTCTAGATCGTCTAGCTCGGCCCTTCTCTCAATCGACTCTATACATGAGTTATATACTAATATATCTACCCGATACAAAGCCTAAGCCACTATAGCCTTATACCACCGTGTGTCTCGGCATTCGAAAGAATAGCTTCTTATGGATTAAAATCCTGGCGAATGCTAGTGGATTTTCTAGCTTGATGGTAGGTGAGCCATACCTTCGCAGATAGCCAGATTTAGTGTAAGTCTATGTGTAAGGAGAAGGTAAGGCAAAGGCCCCGTCTGTTATGGGGCCGTCGTACTTCGTACGAAGCCCTATGGAAGATGCTTGCTTATGCTGCGCGGAATCTGCCAAACGTTACCGCCTTCGACGGAATATGTACACATTTGTTAGCTCAGGAGAACTCCTCTCCTCAACGAAACCTTCTTGTTCTTAAAACCCGTCTAAGTTGCACAACTAGGCTAGTTCCGTAACACCGTCATATCGAGCCCATAGATTAACATTACTATACTAGCTAGAATCGAGAAAAGGAGACTATCTAGTCCCGAGTTATAGCCGAGATAACTAAGGAGCTACGAGCTACGAATCACCGACCTTTACTATCCTACCTAATCCTACTCCGCGTTGCTAAGCCATTCGACGTATTCGAGCGGGTAAAGACGAACGAGCGGAAACGAACCAATCGAATATACACGACGCTATATCAAGGACGCTACTAGAAATATTGTGGTGTCTTTAGACAGATTTTGGTATACTTAATACCTAGGCGCGCTTTTCTATCTAAGCCGGAGTAACACGTGCAAAGACCATTCACCGTAGAAGTCACTACAGCTGTAGGTTAGTTAAGCTAAGCGTGTATCATTTTCTTACTAATATCGTCTTCTAACGTATCGCGCGTAAGCAGCTCTTACTAGGAATGGCCGGATTCTCTACGTCCCCTATGTCGAATGTCCTATATCATCAACTATTATATATGGCATATCGCTGTTCGGACATATTCACTAAAGGTGGCATTAATGTCCCTAATAGAACCACCTAGAGCCATCCGGCTATAGTACCTCTTTGACTATATCCTATACCTTCACTAAAATCTCTACTCCTAATCAGCGCTTAAATAATTGCTTTCGGGGGAATAGGTTAGGTATATATCTGCTACGGCTTTAAGCTAAGTAGATCGCATCACAAACGTCTATCGTAAATGCTAGCGAAATCGTCTTTACCAGATCTGGTTAAGATAGCGCTTGCCTAACCCGATCGGGCTACAACTATTTCTCCACGTAGTAGAGTATGCTTAATCGTATAAACTCGGGTACTACGCCCAAAAAGCAACGGCTATCGCCTAGATTGTAGTAGTGGATACTAATATATAGGAGATAGGCTCGCAGTATAAATCGTAGTTACTGGCGGGGATTACTAATAAGGGTGCGACAGCTCCTATTTATAGAAGGAGCCGATCGGATATTTAAGCTAAAACCCTTAATAATGTGGTTGTCTTCGCTGTGAATTTAATTTAACTATCGCGACCGTTCTAGGATATAGGCATTCTAGGGTAGAGTAGGATTAAGTGACTTATAAGCCGCCTAAAGCGATAAATTTAACGACGCAAGGAACAGTCTATCGCATTAGGATACTTAGTTGAGCCAATAAATAGGTTTCGAGCGGCTCCTTATTAAAAGCTTCTACACTTAGTAGGTCTGATCTTAAGCGTATTACCTGTTTTAGCTGAACCGAAGGAAATCCAGTGTTTGTATTCACTAGGTCAATCAAATTAGAGACTATATACGAACTTCACCGAGTGACTACCAGGGAATAAGAAATAACGTAGAATTGAAATAATAATGAAACTAATATCTCTATCATGTGGGTGAGATGCCAAGAAAGAGCTCGCGCGAAGGCTGTGAGACGTTGACACTTAGCTTCACCGCCCGGCCGTATACCATATCAACACCCTCGTCAACGTTCATCAATGTTCATCAACGTTTATCAACGCTCATAAACACCTCCGTTAACGTTCATTAACGCTTATCAACACATCCGCGACGCATCAAAACACTCACTTCTCTGTTCGCTCTACGCCCTGATGGCAGAGATACATTCTACTGCGGCCGGAGGGCTAGACCGCAGACTATCAAGACAGGAGGGTTGAGAATACGGCGCTCGATTACGAAGGTTGGTTCTTAGATTTTCGAATCTATCTAGGGCTCACTCTATCTCTCCAATGATAATACTTCGGAATACAAGGAAGATGAAGATACTATACAGGTCTTTGCTTCTTCGAATGCCCTTAGGCTACTCGAATACTAGTCCCTAGCACCACGGAGAGGTGCCTATACATCGCTGGGGAGTGATAACAAGTCTTTAGCGGGCTAAGACTTACCATGACTAAGCGCACTTTTACAATCATAGGGCTTATTGGCTATAAGGTAGCGTAAGTCTTATATCGCTAGGCTCGTGGCAGCGACAGCCGTGGTCACGGAAGCTCTGAAGTCCTTGGTTTCGCAGCACCCCCCTGCGAGACATAGTTACTAACGCAGAGCCTATCCTGCGAGACATAGTTATTATCGCAGAGCCTATCCTGCGAGGCATAGTTGCTAACGCAGAGCCCATCCTGCGAGACACAGTTGATAACGCAGAGCCTATCCTGCGAAGCACAGTTGATAACGCAGAGCCCATCCTGCGAGACACAGTTGTTATCGCAGAGCCTATCCTGCGAGACACAGTTGATAACGCAGAGCCTATCCTGCGAAGCACAGTTGATAACGCAGAGCCCATCCTGCGAGACACAGTTGTTATCGCAGAGCCTATCCTGCGAGACACAGTTGATAACGCAGAGCCTATCCTGCGAGACACAGTTGATAACGCAGAGCCTATCCTGCGAGACACAGTTGTTATCGCAGAGCCTATCCTGCGAGACACAGTTGTTAACGCAGAGCCTATCCTGCGAGACACAGTTGTTAACGCAGAGCCTATCCTGCGAGACACAGTTGATAACGCAGAGCCCATCCTGCGAGACACAGTTATTATCACAGAGCCTATCCTGCGAGGCACAGTTGATAACGCAGAGCCTATCCTGCGAGACACAGTTGATAACGCAGAGCCCATCCTGCGAGACACAGTTGTTATCGCAGAGCCTATCCTGCGAGACACAGTTGATAACGCAGAGCCTATCCTGCGAAGCACAGTTGATAACGCAGAGCCCATCCTGCGAGACACAGTTGTTATCGCAGAGCCTATCCTGCGAGACACAGTTGATAACGCAGAGCCTATCCTGCGAGACACAGTTGATAACGCAGAGCCTATCCTGCGAGACACAGTTGTTATCGCAGAGCCTATCCTGCGAGACACAGTTGTTAACGCAGAGCCTATCCTGCGAGACACAGTTGTTAACGCAGAGCCTATCCTGCGAGACACAGTTGATAACGCAGAGCCCATCCTGCGAGACACAGTTATTATCACAGAGCCTATCCTGCGAGGCACAGTTGATAACGCAGAGCCTATCCTGCGAGACACAGTTGATAACGCAGAGCCCATCCTGCGAGACACAGTTGTTATCGCAGAGCCTATCCTGCGAGACACAGTTGATAACGCAGAGCCTATCCTGCGAGACACAGTTGATAACGCAGAGCCCATCCTGCGAGACACAGTTATTATCACAGAGCCTATCCTGCGAGGCACAGTTGATAACGCAGAGCCTATCCTACGAAGCACAATCTTATATCGCTAGGCTTATGGCAGCGATAGCCGTGGTCACGGAAGCTCTTAAGCCCGTAGGCAAAAGAGGGACACCATGATATATCGGAGTGTGAGGACCGAAGTCCTGATTTTTTTGGGCTGGGAATCTAGCCGCTTTTATATCTTTTCGGCTACGTCTCGACCAAGGAACTAGTTACGTAGTTAGTAGCGAGAATCACTACCTCGTTATTATCGTTGAAGACATTTAAACACCGTTGAAATAGTGTTAGGAGACTTTGTGGCCTACAGACTTAGGTTTTAACCTAGATTTATTGCGTTCAAAAACTACGTTAAGTGTGGTGCACCACTTTCATTAACTATTGAAAAGACACCGACACCGTAAGAATGTGATTCTTATATTATTGAAATTACAATTAAATCGCTTAACGCGGTGGTAGACTACTCTACCCGTTTTAACTATAGTCACTAGCCACGGTTATCGTCTCTTTCGTGAGGGCTAAGGTACTTAAATAGATGCCGCAATAATGGGTTAGACACTATAGTAGATAGTGACATTCGATTTTACCGGCTGTTAGCTATAGGACGTGCCTCCTATTAATCCCACTATAATCCTCTGCCTATTTCTAGTTTCGCGCTGCTCGAACGGTACTTTTCTTTGTTGCTCGTAACTAACTAAGGTTACCTCCCCTAAAACTTCTGCTACCTATCGGTGTAGACACTATAAATATACTCCTAAATCCAGGGTATAAGTTGTTTTCCTTAACGGAGAATCGAAAGTCTAGACTTTGTTAGAAATCTCAGAATCTAAACCCGAGTCTAGTTTCTAGGACAATGAAGTGAGTTATTTTAGCTACTATGGCTCACGAGCTAGATTCTTATAATCGCCACCCCCTCGCTAGATTATAACGCTGCTATCATACTATTAAGACCCTAGATATAAATAGCACCTAACGGACTAATCAAACACCACGCCTAAATTTAGACAGATATAGGTACGGTTCCACGATACAGATCCCGGCGACGACCTACGGGATAGTAGATCATAGAGGTTCTCAATATAGCCCGGAGAAATTCGAAGGATTTGCAAGGGTCTAGAAACGATCCACAATCTAGTCTTAACGGGCCGTTAGAGTACAGATAGAATAGGTCTTTGTTGCTTAGGAAGTCGGTTAGGGCAGATAAGGTATTTAGAATATCATAGACTTTTTATAGCGAGATCCGATCCGTGGCTTAGTTACCCTCGTAAGAGAGTGATTAGTCCTCCGTCGAGGGGGAAGCTGCTACTTTCTCTATCTCTATCTAGTCTATAGAATGTTCTAGAAGCTATGTCTTCTGTCCTGTATAAACATTCCTCGTAGAAAGTATACTCTCTTTAAGCGCGATATATCCTCTCCATCTGCCAAATTCGATCGCCAGTCGGCCAACTCCAGTAGATAGCCTTTGAAATCAACGCTAATTATGTAAGGGCAGATATTAGATCTAAACAAAGTCTCCGGTTTATACACTAAATTGAGGAAGCGATTGGCTCCCGAGTATGGGTCGACGTTGTGGGCCGGCCCTCCTGCGGCCCCTCACTTTATTTCAATCACCCCGCGCATCTTGATCATGACTGTAGGGATGTTGGCGATTTTGCCCTAATACTCATTTCTTTTGGGCTGTAGGGCTTAATCACTAGAAAGCAGGTGGGGCAGAAGCCTGGGCCTGAATTTTTCATGCCGACCGCATTCTCTCACCGAGCAGGTGATTCATGGGTCGCCCAAACTAAGTACAAGGAATGATTTGCGGTCCCACTAATGATCGACGGTTGCGCCCGTGATTCCACGGTCCATGCCGAACCTATTTCCTTATGACTCAGGCGGAGGTCGGACACAAATTGTACGCTTCACTCTAGAGGCTAACTACTCTGCTTTCGACCATCGATCCAATTAATTCCAAGCAGACATATTACCTTGAGTCAACAAGAAGCCAGATATTTTCACTTTCCCAGACCTCCCTTGCTACCATGTTCGGTCTTTCTATGGGAAGACTCATAGTACCGTGCGTCCTTATACGCTGTCCGCAGTACTTTTCAGGCCATATAACACCCCGATGAAATCCTCCTGGTTTTGCATTACAATTTAAATCGCGCACGGCAGCTTTTGGAACAAGCCAGACGACAAGATCAGTCTTTAGGCAATGAGTGACCAAAATGAAAGACCATATTACAAAACATATTGTTCAAAGATGCTCACTGTTGCAATCATGAAGAAAAGAGATATATTTCATACCATCAAAGATCCTCGGCTTGCCTGTTTTGTTTAGCTGGCATCGTCTTGGAAAGAGACTCGCTTTCTCTTGCCTCGCTCAGACAGGGATGGCTGCTGAGCGATAACCATTTGTTTGAGATCCTCCACCTCGCTCTTCAGAATTCCGATATCCTTAGCCAATCCTTTCTTGATTAGTCGTTTGGTAACCTTGCTTTCCGATTTTCTGCATCGTTCCATCTGCTCCTCTCTCTTGGATAAACTTTTGAAAGGTCCTGGCTTCACTTGCCCTGTAGGTCTAGACATGGTTGATTAGAAGTGGAAAAAGGAAATACATAGTGTTCAAGTTATTTACTGACCGGTTGTTCGCAAGATTTGTAGAGTGGTACAGTCTGCATGGTGACGACTCGACCAGTTCCGTTTCTCGATCGGGTTTGCGTAGAGGCTTGCTGCCATGACGGCTTCCAAATTGATGTTCCTTGCCAGGCCGTGCGCCTTCACACTCCGTTTGAGTTGACCCCGAGAATTCAGATTGACATTCAATCGCATCTTCATGGTGAGCGCTTTTTTCTGCTCTAGCTTCATCTTCAAGAGCTTTGGCGAGCATGGCAGAGTATTTGCCTGGCCAAAGGGTAGGGGCCTTGGTCACGCGGTTTGGCATTCCGAATGTGATATCGATTGAAAGAAAATTGACACAATGGTTATATGTATGCTGTCAGAGAGTAAACTGGCAATAATTCGTAAAAGGAAAGGAGTAAAATATGAGTCGAGGGTCATGGACGATGTGCAATTTATTGGCGGAAGAGTTAAAGATCCATGGAACCATTTTTTCGTGCTATGTATTCTTTCGCAAAAGGGTTTTAAAAAAATACTCACCGCAGAAATCAGAGATTTCTACGAAGGAAAGGGTGCTTCTTGGCGAAGAGGGCAAACCACAGGTACAATCGAGGTGTGACTTGGTTGACCAATTCTTTTAAACACTAATTCAACTTTGTTTAAACATCTGAACGCCCATCAACGAGCTGGTGACCGTCACGAATATGTACGCAAGTGGTCTTTATGAAGAGACGAAGCTCAAGTGACATGAAAGGCGCCAGATTTTCAGCCCAGAAAAATTAGGACTTGTCCTCACACTATGATGCATCCTAATGTGCCTCTTTTGTCCTAGATAGAAGCAAGCCAATATCAGAATTGTAACTTCAAGATTCCACCTTCGTTATCGCCCGCTGTGTTCCCAAACCTCCTGTCTTCATGGTTTGCGGCCGGCTAGTCTTCCCGCCGCAGTAGAATGTATCTGCCATCAGGGCGTGGAGCGAACAAAATGGTGAGTATTATGGTGCGTCGTGGATGTGTTGACCGGGCGTTGATGAGCGTTGATGAGCGTTGAAGGTCGTTGAAGGTCGTTGAAGATCGTTGAAGAATATTGATGGTCGTTGATGAGCGTTGACGATAGTATGCACGAGGGTGTTCATGTGTGTATTGTGCTGTTTTGTATGCATGTTCTAGTCTATAAGCCCAGATCTCGGCCCGACGTTTTCCCCGGCCCAATCCGGGGGTTCAACTCCCAATCCGGGGGCTCAATACTCCAAGCAGCAAGATATCAATATTCAACGGCAACGACCTGGTAATAAATGTCATGGAAAGCAATGGCTACACTATAGACTCGATTGCATAGGAAACACTAAGAAAAAGTCGAGTTTGACCAGGATTCTGTACAATTCTGGCACTTAGAGGATTAGTGAGCGTCAGCGCAGATATATATATTTCATATAGGCAGAAGTAGGTGCATCTTCTTGTTCAAGTATGACATTTTCAATGGTGGAACTCCTTATTTGCAGGCCTATAGGATTCAATTCCATGCCGAAAGCTAGGTAATTTCTCACAATGAGTGTCCGTTTCCACACATAATTGATACTAGGAAAATCTGCGTTCTTTATGCAAAGGCCAAGAATTGGCATGTCTGTATTGTTTTCGGCCCATTGGGCCCCCAAGAAAGCCCGGGGGCTTCTACCTTAGACCTAAAGCCCATCTGCGCGCCCGAAATACATTCTGTTGCTCAGATAATTATGGTGATGCGATAGACTGTTCCTCGCGTCGTCAAATTTGCCGCTTTAGGCGACTTACAAGTCACTCACTCTGCTATAGAATGCCTACATCCACAACGGTCGCGAGTCAAAGTGGATTCCCAATAAAAGAAAACGCAGAAAGGGGCTTGGCTCGAAGAATTTCCGATTGGCTTCTTCTACATGGGAGCCGCCGCACCTTGGTCAGTGACAGCAATTACGATTATATTGCGAGCCCATCTCCTATGTAGCAACCACACCGCACTCAAATTGGCGACCACTGCTTTCTGGGCGTGGTATCGGAGCTCATGCGATCAAGTGTACTCCACTGTGTAGAGAACATGGTTACAGCCCGATCGGGTCTAGCAAGCGCTATCTTGACCAGATCTGGGAAGGACGATTCCGCCAGCATTTATGACGGACTTGGATTGGCGCTGCAGCAGACATGCACGTTACTAATGCCACTAAAAGCAATCATATGAATGCTGATTAGGGGAAGAAATTTTAGCATAGGCTGTCATAGATACTCAGAGAGGTCGTATAGAGGATGGCTCCGAGTAAAGTTATACAGACACCTAACTCACCCTTACAAAGAATCTGCTTGAATAGTAATATACCAGTCTAAAGCGCGGTGTGTCTGACAAATAATTGTTACTTAAGAATAGTCGAGGTAGGGGATGTAGAGAACTTAGCCATCCCCCCGAGAAAACTACTTACACGCGATATATTAGAAGACGGTTTTAGTGAGAGATACACGCGCTCGGGTTAACTCACCTATAGATACAGTGATATCTAGGGAAATGGTCTTTGTATACGTTACTCGGCTTGGATAGAAAAAAGCGTGCTTAGGCATCAGATCCAGCTAGCGTATATCTAAAGACACCATAGCAGTTCTAACGGTGCTCTTGATGTAGCGTCGTGTATATCCGGTTAATTCACTTTCACTTGTTCGTTTCCGCTTGGTAGCTCTACCCGCTGGAATATATCGACCGGCTTAGTAACGCGGAGTAGGATCGGGTAGGATAGTATAGGTCGGTGATTCGTAGCTCGTTGCTCTCTAGTTAACTCGGCTATAGCTCGACACCCTACTATCTCCTTTTATCGGTCCGTACCTAATATGGCCAATGTTTATCTATAGGCTCGAAATAATGGGGTCCCGCCTCACCCTCTCCTTGCACGTAGACTTAGACCCACAGCCTGCTCGTCGGTGAAAGTAGGACTCGTCCGCCATAAGCTAGACCGAAATATAAGCTTACCCCGGTGCCTATCGAGCTGCTAGGCATTAAAAGACGTAAGATGCGAATTAAGGATAATAAGGATCACTTATTGTACGTTAGGAATTTAATCTATAAGGAGGCTATTCTTTCGCGGTATTCGAATACCGAGACACGGTGGTATAAGCCTATTACGGTTTAGGCTTCGTATCGGGTAGATATATTAGTATATAACTGATATATAGAGTCGACTAAGAGAAGGGCCGAGACGATCTAGACTTTATATTGGCTTATCATCGATGCCACTAGTAGTTATATGGAAATAATAGATAGTATACGATCGTATCGGTAGAGGGGAGCTCGAGTAGAGAAAATAAGGGCGTCCTATTGTACGATACGAGTTAGCAAAGCTTACCACTCGGACGAGTTATTATGACTTACCTATTTATAGAGTTTGTAGAGGGCACGCTATATACGCTTAAGACGAGACGATTAGTGAGCTTCGTGGTTATATAAACTTACTAAATAGATCACTTATAATCCTCTTCGGCAAGGCAATATAGCACTATTTATGCCACGTTAGATTTTAGTTCGTCGCACTCTCCGGCCGTTACTCTAAAAAGGCCGGGCTATAGCGTAACGCGCATTCTCTTAGGCGGTATAGGCCGTAACAACCTCACTAGGCATAAGCAATCATATAGTCGAAATAGATAAATGTTTCGCAATACGGACGACTAGAGATTCCGTTATTTATAGAGTGAAGGCGGTAAGGGCGAAGACGCGATAGAGCACGCGTCGTAGTGCTACCTAGTCTTATCTCCGATCCGGCGATAGGACTTCTAATAGGGATGTTTTATAGTGGCGATAGGCTGCCCTTATATATAATAGCACGAAAATCAGCAATCGTGTTAATGTTCTAGAGTATAAGAAATTGTATAAATAACTAATATAGCGTAGCGGAGGATGCGATAAGTCACTCACACTATAAGGAAGAATGGATATCTTAAGCTTCTATATAGCGAAGCTCGTAACCGGATATTCGCACCCGCTATTAGCCCGCTCCTCTAGTTTATATTCTTTATCTAGGGTATATTGCGTGGTTTAGAGTATCGGGGCTAAGAATAGTGTATAGGCCATAGCTTTATATTTGGCACTAACGGGGTGCTATATCCTCGGGCCCTCTAGTGCGATATTAATAGTTCACTATTAATCATTAGCTTATAGATCGGGGAGATAATCCATAACTCACATTTTCTAGTAGCTAAGTCTTAGGATAAAGAGACGGTAAAGAGCTATAGTCCTTACGCTCGTGCATTTATTCGAATATACTCGGTTCTATTGAAATCGTATTATCTTTAGTATTAGTGAGATAGGCTAGGCTAAAATTTATATACCTACGACGCTTTACGGTTGAGCTTTTACGGGGCTATAAGGGCCATGATTTCGTTCTAAGAGAGGTTATTAGGCTAGTCTCCTACACCGGACTTTTATATAGTAAAGCCCTCTTATTAGGAACTTTCGGCCGGGTTAGTTAGTGAAAGGGAAGACGATATAATTAGTAGCTACCTAAGGTGACTTAAATTAGAAGGTGTCCTAAGGTCTAGGGGTGGTAGGAACTAGGGCATCTTTTATATTAAACGGGTTAAAATAACCGCGAGAAGGAAGAGGCAAAATCCGAGGAAGAGGAGATAGTCGGCGCTCTTCGCCTATATCGGAGGCTCCTATACTAGTGGTTGATTTAAAAGAACTTAAACTATGTTAGGACTATTTAATATTTAAAGTATCATAGCAAGGTAATAGCGGCGAGAGTTCTCGTTATTTAAGCTAGCTATCTCTTTATACATTACTATTAATATACCTACGACGCGGATATTCGCCTATCTCTTAGGAGTATATATAGTGGCTATATAGTAGATTAGCTAGTCGACTACTATAGCGGAGGTATCTACGTATAGACACCTTAACCAGCTAATCCAAAACTCGTATCTTTAACCGGCTAATATAAATAGTAGCGTATCTAGTGGGAATCATACCTATATCTCTTATAGGCACTATCTAGCTTATAATCCTCGATATATCCTATCTATGTTAGTATAGTGGAAATTCGGTTCTAGGTTAAAGGGGAGAACTTATTAGGTGACTTAGATATAAGCCTACTCTACTTTATAGAGTTAGGTGAATAAATTGTAGAACGAATTGCCGGGGGTTAGAGGACGTATTTATAGGCTTCTCGGCTTATCCTATCGGGTAAGTGCTTGGTAGAAAGCGTTAAGGGACACCTCTTATAACTAAGGCCTGTCGAAACCTATGTCTTCTATATACCGCAACTATTTGTAGCGACAATTTTCTGCCTTTAGATGCTCAGCGAGGGAGACGAGCAATAGTGGTGTTAAGAAAGGATGCTAAGTCGGTTAAGAAACGTTGGCTCACTGTTGAATCCTTCACGGCCGTCTTAAATTGAGGCTTTGTGGATATATTCCGTCCGCAATGACAGGCTCATTTTTATTTTCTGATCACCTTACCTGTGAGCGACTCAACGTTGAATGACCAAAAAGCGCCTACAATTTCATCCCTAGAAATCATGGACTGTCAACGAAAGTAGAAGTGTGCGAAATATATATGAGCATTCATATCTGGCCCTCAACGTTGTGAGACCTGATCATTTTACGCGACCGACTTGTTGATCACTACCCTTTGATAAAGTTGCTTTCAACAGCCCGCTGAAAAGTAAATTAACTCTAGTCAGAATTTGACTGCTTCAATTGACCGTAGTTGTGATTGTAAAACCCAGTCTATAGCCATCTGCGTGTGCATAGTCCATAAGAGACACAAAGGCCTGATGGAAACGGTACTGCCTAGATCTTGATTTTTTCCTGTGGAAAAAATGGATGGACAAAACAGCTCGACAGACCAGGAAAAAGATGGAGATTAGCAGCCTAGTGTATTGCCAATCCTTAGCGAGAAAGACAAATCATAGGAAAGTTCTGACCATGTTCCATTGGTTAGTGAAACTATTCCGCTTTAAATGCTTTTGCTGACTATTGCAGCCCTCCCCTTCGCAATAAGAAGTAGATATAAGACACACCCTGGCGACCGAGCCCTTTCAACCTATCTTGAAGGTGCTAGCCGACCTCGAACGCGATGATCTTCCCGCAGCTCGACTTGTCGGACTCTATCGACGCCTATGGGAGTCATGCGTGTCCAAGCACATTGATGGCGAGAAACTAGAGCAAAATAATCAAAAGTTGAAGGAGACTAGCATGAAATTAAGCAACGAGAGAGACGGCCTCCAGCTTCTCCACGACAAGCAGCTGCCTCGACTGCTCTATATTGAGGAGGTATTGGAAGCATCTCGGGAACGGCTGATTAGCCTGCTCGATGACTGGAACCACCCTTTCAGGCCCAATCTGACAGGGTTGCCGGATGTTGAAAGAGAAGTGTGAGGAATTGCCTATTCCGGATTGCCCTGTCCTATCTTGGTGACAGAGAAATACTACAAGCGGCGACGTAGTGCAGGGAAAATTACCGCATGTAAAGCAGCTATGTCTTTCCGATAGTTTATAGTAACAACGCATAAAATAGCCATTGATTCATTATCAACGTCTTCACTGAAATGTGTCTGCAAACAATCCCGCTTGATCCGGATCAATCCCACTTGTAATTACCGGATCTATTATGCACAAAAAGCCGTGGATCCAGGGATAGCGTCGGGGGCAGCGCAGTCAACTGAGAATGTGTCGAGAGACTCGAATAAGGTAGAGATTCCGTACGAGGCCAAAGGGACAGTCGGAAGCTAGTCTCGTTGGCACCCGTCACCAAACCCAACTAAAGTTCACCAACAGTATAGACCTTATCTAAAATTAGCGCTAATCCTAAGGAGATAGCGCAAATAGATAGCGGAAAATCCAAATGTCATTCTTCATGCCCATAAACGCTCTACCACATGGAGACTTTATCAAGGCTCAGGCTCATCGACAGAGTAGGCTTGAAGATCGCTCGCTTCCAAGGCTGAAACAACACCATTACAAAGAGCCTGAACCGCTCGTCTGCGGTCCCACAATACTGATACTTGTTCATCGCAGAGCTGTAGAAGGATGTCGCTGTCGCTTGCTAGCCACTCATTTGACGCTTGAAGCTGTCGCTGCTCCTCCTCGAGTCGTATTTTCTGGGCCGATTTGACGACGTAGCATTCCCATAGGCAAAAGTACAAGTCGAGCAATTTGAGGACTGGTGTAGCGAGGGAGTCATTGAGGTTTACTACTTTCATGAACTCCGCCGTAAGGGTACCCCGTGTTCTCACTGGGATCTATTCAGTATTAGTGGGTTTTTTTCATTTCCTGCCGAGGGGGTATGACCGACCTTGGGTTCGATGGTTGTGCCGTTTGAGGCTTGCTCTGGATGGTTTTCCAACTTGGGTTTATCCTCTGGAGCTTGGGATACTCGGCACTGTCTCTTGGCTGGCCGATCAATTGGGGAAGGCGAAGTGGGATGGTCCATTTTGGTCATCAAGATGGATTGGATCAGAAATTGTGCTCGAGGGTCATTTATAGCTGACAAGTCACGCCGAGGCTGCTGTCATTACTACCAATGCTTCCTCGCCTAGGATCGACCGCACTTTTGAAAAGACAGTGAACAGTTAGCTCAACTGCTGATGCTCGATCTCCCCAGCTGCTCACCCCGAATTACTCACCGATATACGAAAATGAACAAAAATTTAAACGTTGAAAAATATCGTTACCGAACCTATTTCCTAACGGAAGGTAGTTTGCAAGTGAACTTCTGACGCATTGAATGCTAGACATCAAGTAGAGCTCGTTGAAACTTAACCGTGACATTAACTTGACTGCAAAACATTTGAAACCAAGAAAAGCAGATATATTGCGTTTGAGCATAATATTGATACCAATTGACGTTGGTAGCAGCCAATCTCGCATTTTGATACGGACCTACCAGAAGTAGATTTCACTAGGTCTTCTAGGCAACCAAACTTTCTTCTTAGTGACTGCAACAAAACCGTTTGATGAGTGTTATCATATCATTTTGTTTTGAATAGGCCTCCGGATATTATTGTTGTTTTCTAAATCCCACCGATCTCCTCAAAACTGCCGTCCTCCTTCCACGTACCACGAGCACGTTGACTGTGAGATATGAGGAAATCTTCCTTTTCGAGATTTCAAAGGCTTAAGCGAAAGCTTCATGAATTCAAAGATGCCTTTCTCAGTATAAGTCGATCAAAGTCTCTCCCAGAGATACATGTACCTGCCCCCGCTTCTGAATTGGAACGCACACGACGATCCGCCGCCCCGTCCCCAGAGGTGTCCCCAATGAAGATAATAGATCATAAAAATGAGACGAAAGGCACCTCGATCAGTTTCGATCCACTACCGTCAACATTCACAAAGCAGCCTGGAACTAAACTCATTTTCAGTTCCACAACCTGAAAGGCGAGCAACGGGCTGGTCGGGCCGGTCGTGCAAGAACACGAGCCTTCGGGTGGCCATTCCGTGCGAAACTCGTGAGGGAAGTTGAGAGACCACACTGCGTGGACGAGTAACCAACTTGCGTTATTCGTGAATTCCATGTTTGTGCTGGAGGCATGTAACAGACAGCACAATTGAAGCCGCTTGTGGTCTGGAGAAAGTCCGGATCTTCGATTTTCACGGCTCGGGCCAACCTAAATGAACCTAGGAGTTTGTCGCTAGTTTTGCTTCTTTGCCAGGCGGTCCCTTTCGGTTTCTGAGACGGCCTCATTGGGGAACACGGCAGTGGCGACATTGTAGGACATGCTGGTTGGCCATTGATGTACCAATAAAGCCGAATCATGAGATTCCGAGTAAATCGTGACATCTTTGGCTTGGTCTCGGCGCACATCCAACAAATTCAAAAATCGGCTGGCCCACACTTTTGGCCGACAGCGATGGCGCCTGCACTCAAAGCAAAATAACTGCTTTGCAGCCGATGAAAATCCCTGCGCTGATGGATACGCGAAAGGGGGGTTCAGGGACAGCTGAAAACACAATACTCCATTTATCCGGGAGTCAAGCGGCACGGTGTTTTGACAGTGATTCCCGTCATATCCTACCCATATGCACCGCTCACGGTGCAAAGGATCGCCCAATACTTGGCCTAATTCCCATTGGAGATGAGCAGGATTCCAGGACATGATGAAGATGTAAATGTAAAAGCGTCTCGGGTCAATCGCGAGGTTTGCATGTAATCTGCTGGAGAAGATATAGATTGTTGAGCTGGTATCTGTGATCATGTAGGGAGAGCACAATATATATACGCTTCAGAAAGCACATAGTGGGCTTTTCATCTTGCTCTTTCGCCATTACATGCTCGCGCAGAAGAGGTTTGACTTAGCTAGTTCCCAACACTTCTCATCTTGTTCCTGGAAAGCGGTGATTGATTCCTGGGAGCCCTAGTCACATTTGTCGGGATACACGCGAGGCATACACAATGAGTGGAGATACGATATGCGGGACTCACATGGCATCTGGGTTCACTGGGATGTATACGCGACTTTGCCCTTACAACTGGGCCTCAAGATCCGAGAAACCGGCAAATAATTCATATAGCAGTGTAGCAATAGAGCCTAGGAGACCCACTTTAAGCGCGAACATACCACATGTCGTATCCAGAGCCTTCGGTCTTGAAGCTCATGACCCAACACGCCCTTGAAATGCCCCTAGGCAACTTGCAATTTGCCAGCCATGCCATTCCGCAAATTCATGGTCCAAATGCACAGCCCACCGAATGCAAAGAGTGATTCAGAATGAGACATCCTTCTTGCAGCCCACTGATCAGCGGTATAGCGGTATAGCGGTACATACTGCATCACAGTGCATTCTTCGACGTTTCGATTGTTTCAAGGGAGGAGTTCCACGTCAGCAGCCATGACGTGATGTAAGTACAGATCTCATGATGATGGCATATAAAGCTGGCGAGGGAACGCTGCGGAGATTGCGCAACATCAATACCCATTCGAATCATTTTCTGCCTTTTGTCATCAGCTCAATGTTCTTTATACTGCCTTGGAACCCATTTGCTGTCAGCGGGATCCCTCACGGTGACCCTGGCTTCTGTTGCGGGATGACGAAAAAAATGCACTGTGCAAAAACTCGATCAAAGTTGAAGATACCAAGATGGGCCATCAGAAGCTGAACACTCTCGCTAGACAGCCGTTCGACTCGCTAATGTTGCAACCGAAGCTCTGTGATATTGTCAAAGAATTCCTCTGCGCGAGATGGCATCGACAACGATAGGCCGACCGAGTTGGCCGGCAGTGGTATGAAGCAGCCGTCCGCAACTAGGCGCGAGTGAGGCATGATTCTAGGATTGCCTCTCTATCAGTCATGGTACACCTGGGCTAGCGTCAGATATTGTCAGCCTCCAGGCGACGCCCTGCATTAGATAACACTGACCGGTCACCACCTCACGAGCTCAGACAAGACCCGCCGATGCCCCTCTCAACCAGCTCCGAGCCGGTGCAATCAATCAATCCCTTTATCACCGCCGAAATACTGCGGACCAACAGTGTTCCATGGCACGTTTCACCGGCTCGACCAGCTATCCTGACATCGGTCGCTAACATCTGGGCGGATGTCTAAGACTCGACGCTTCGGAAGCTCAGCTTGAGTGAAGAGGTCGACAATATCCACTGTATGTTTTGTCTGACCGAGGATGAAGATCTTGCAAATGAGTGTGTGATTTTGCGTTGTCAGTGCAGGGCGCTTTCCCACCTGGCCTGCGCGGAAGTGTGGCGGAAAAGCGAAGTACAGGTTTTGGCACGTCATGCTGTGTGTGGTAAGTACGGCTGATTCCGATTATTCAGTGCCCGGGATGCTGATGAATACAGTCGAAACGAAGGACCTTTAGACGCCTTGATTCGCCCACTCCGAGTCCAATCGTCGGATACCGAGACACGCCATGTCCACACGGCAAGTAAGCCGTCTCCCGATAGAGAACTTGCCACTATCAGGAATTCATCACCAAACGACCCGAGTCAGAGTCAGCCGCATCAGCGGTCAGTGGGATACCAAGGGATGTCAGTCGAGCAGAGTTTGGAGAATGGCCCCCGTCGGTCGGCCAGAGTAGCAGGGGCTTATCTACCGAGAGACCCGTCTACCTCTGCACCACTTCGCCGGTCAGCACGACTAAATTCCACTCAGCGTAGGTGATCACATTTTACAGCGGACGTGTGACGGAAATGAAAAATTAGCAAAGCGACTGTCAATCACACGTGATTCCACATGACCAGGCACTCGGTATTGGGGTCAGCAACAGAGAGCATAGCTGTGATAAGGATATTTGGAGCAAGCTTAGCAGCTAAAAGAATGAATTCCTGATCATTAAACTCCACAGAGCACCATGCGACCGTTTCATCTTTGCAAGTGCTAGATGCCAATGCACCCCCTAAAGCTATTGGCAGTTTGAAACCGAGTCCCTGTAGTGAAAAGTGCTGGTAGCATGGTGCATAACGGCGGTGACCAAAGTAAATGCCGACAGTGATTTCAGCCTTGAGCCCGAAGACGGATCTTGTTGGCAGAAAAAACAAACTTGTGGGTCGGCAGGAGAGTCTCGACAAATTCTCCTGCTTGTTAATTTGACTCTGGAAATCAATAAATTATACATTGGTAACCTCAAAAGCAATTCCAGGAGCCGTGTATCGGCAAAGAACCACTCTTTAGCTCCTGAGTACAGCGTCTTCCGAATGAATAATCAAGATTTACAATAACTACAGTCCACTAGATATAAGACGTAGCGCGAGGAAGCAAAGAGACAGGCTTCCTCGCGTTCAGGGGAACCCATATGCATCCCGTGGGCCCCGCAGATAATATCTCCATCCATGCTGCATGCTTCATGTATATCCTTGACAAACTGGACCAAAGCTCCCGGGAACAAGAGAGCTCCCAGGGCCAAGTTGTACGTTCCCAGCTCTGATGAAGCAGTCAACAGGAAGGTAGCTTTCAACCCCCAAGGAGGATGCAATCACGTTTAACCATCATATGACGCGGTGCCACGCGCACCACCTTTTATTCCTACTAGTATGTTTGGTATCCAGGTGTTTCACTAGCAGAAGTTGCATAGCCAGAAGCAAGCCTTGTCTAGATTCGAAAGCAATTTCATGTTCATTTTTGCTCAAACTCGCTTCTATCTAGTAGAATATAAGTCATTAACTAGCCAATGATTAGTACAGTAAAAATGTGTCCAATCCAATACGACCGAATCTATTTGATGTATTCGGCCTTCAGTTGGATCTTGCTGCAGCTGGTGGGGATAGTAGCGTCATAGTAGCGGTTCAAGTAGAAAAGCTGGGGCGCATTGTGGTACCAGTCGCAGACTATTGAATGTTAGGACGAGATCGCCTTCTGGAGAAGAGCAACGATGCTAGGGTCTTACCGAGCCATCCACCGAAGCCGCTGGCTTCCGACCACTGGAAGTTGTTGCCCTTGAGTGAGAATCCATTACTTCCTTGGCCTGCGTTGACCAAGATCGGATCCCAGGCTGGATGAAAATTTCGTTAGCCCGTATTCAGATTAGTATGCGACTTTCCAGAGGGGGTTATTCACAGGCATATTTGGTGTCGCCGGTGGCGACGACTCCCCGAGGGGATTTAGTGTCGAAGTCGAAGAGGGCTTTTGTGCCATTCAAGTAAACGGAGCTAGCATTATTTACATCCTTTGTCAGGACGGCATCGTTGAGGCCTGCGCCCGTGTGGTATGCGAAAACATAAAGGTTGTTGTGCTCTTGGTTGGTGGCGCCGCTGGACTTGAGGCGGAAGTGCTTTGGAGAAGAACTGGTGAGGGTAGCGGCGACGGTAGAGGCAGTCAGCATGAAAAGGGTTGTAAGGGACTTCATTATGGAGGCTGGCGAGAGTAAATTGTGAATTTCAGTTGGGAGTTTGAGTGAAGTATGGAATGAAGTAGGGAATTGAGTTGTGAATTAGAAAGTTCCTTGATTTGTTTTGGATTGAAAAGCTGATCAACAGCAGGGTGCAAGCAATATTTATGTGCACGGATTGATTTCGATGGTTTTGTTTATTACAGGTACAGTGAAGATACAGCACATCATCAACATATATACCATATTTTCAGCTCACTCTTTTGAGACCTTGCTTTTTACTAAGGGAAACTGAGTGCGAGTCCCATTTCGAATACATTCATCCAGTCGGAAATTCAACTTTGGCTTACGGTGAAGATGACCCGGAGGACTTCCACAAGAACATGAACTGCAATTGATGAAGTCGATGGGGCTGCTAAACATGGTTCTATACATTTACTAACCACTGCCCCTGTTATTGGTACAGACAGTGTTGGATTGGCCTTCTGGGAAAGATTTTGATTTAATTGATAGAATTTGATTGCATTTCCATCACCAACATTCATTCACCGCGATTATTCACCGCGTTTACCCTCATTTAGTGCAGTGCAGTCCATTAACATACTGTTCATGACAAGTTGACGGTCTAAATATGGCAGGCCGCAATGAGTTCACAAGATAAAAGACCGATCAGTTCAACTCAATTTCTGCCAATCCTTTTGTCCCATACATCTAGTCATAGGGGTGTCAGGCAGATACGTAAAGTGTAAGCGATGAGATGAGTGGAGATACTATATGCAGGACCTACATGGTGCATGCGGACTCCCTGAACTTGAAGTAGCCTCTCTCTTTTGTTAACGCTACGTCTTGTATCTAGAGTCGATTACATGTACATAGTTGCTTTTGATAGTAATCGCTTACCTTGAGACACTAAGGAACATGCCTTGATCCCCAAGTGTAGTTAGAAGGCTCCAGAGGCTACGTCGGATTTCCTGAGGGCTAGATGGATCCGGGAATTGACTCACAGTCAAGTCACTCGCCGATATGGATGAGGGATTTACAGACTCTTCCATTCTGTGGAATATACGACATTATTTTAGCGCTGCCTCGCTAAAAATAATCACAAACCATCTCTCTCTCTTTAAACAAGTACACGATGTTCATTTTCACTATCACAGTCCTACGAAACATCCCTGCCATTTGGAGCATTTATATTAAGCTTCCACGAACCCTTTCCATTGAGATTATAGATAATGTCAGCTGATTAGGGCTCTTACATGACGAATACCATATTTGAGGTCAAAGATGTCACTTGACCGACATTCTAAGATGCGTAGAAGCTGACAACTATCAAATATTCTAAAAAAGAATTCGCCAGCGCAGATCAAGAATCGGATCAAGTCCCATTATGAGAAACAATCACATCTTAATCAATAAGAACCAGGTTGATCGTCTCGTTTGCGGTAAATAGAGATATATGCATGTTCGTACACAAAAGTTTCAATTTTCACACATTCCTCTTAGTATACAACGTTCGAATTCTTTAAAAGAGATGGATATACTGTATTGGGATTCCTTAATTCACTCGTAGTTTCACGGTGAAACATGAAAAATACGGACCGTGGTAGGGCCTACAACTATCAGAAGGTTTTCCGTTACAATTCGAAATCCGGGGACTTACCAATACTATTCAACTTGTATGCTTCTTCGTATGACTTGACATGCATCATCTCCATGGCGACGACTTTATCCGCTTTCGAATGCTGAATCTCGCGGGTATTTTGGAAAGCAGCGTCCAAGCGCTCTGGCGTAAGTGATGTGAATATGTTGGCCAGACGCAAGGCTAAATTGGCTATACTCTTGTCAAACACCATATTAGCCTAAAGATCGATTTACTTACTTCTGTCTAGGTTCCTCTCCATATTGGTAAGCTGATAGTGCCCTAATAGGTTAGTAAGAATATTAGCTTCTTTCAACGAGGCCAGAACTTTTGGCAATAACATCGGGTTGAAAGCTAGAAATGCCCGTCGGTAATATCCTAACACTTCTAAATAGCTTTCAATTCTCAGGGTCCGGATCTTTATGCTGGAAACACGAATTTCTTCACACTAAAAAGCCATCTAAAGACTTAGTATCATAGACTGTAAATAGTGCATTGAAACTTCGGCGCCAAATAGTGGCGATTCTTTGAGCCGGGATGCCATAGTTGACAGAAAGACTTGGTCGCGGGTCCAGATTTCCTTTGTTTCATATCCCTTAAGTTTATCAGCCCGAATGCCCTTAAAAACATGATAAATCAACGCGATGCTTACCCTGACTCTAAACGGCCGGAATGGAGGGTACTCGCTTTGGAAGCATTCAGCTAGAAAGCTCGAGTGAGGGGATGTATTTTGCCCAAGAATGAATAGAATATATCTTGTTTGGAGCGATATGTCCTCCAATGTTACTGTGTGCAGGCCGTCAGACTTGGTTAAAACGTTGCGCACACTGATCAGCCACCCTTAAAGCTGACTGCGCTGTAAGACAAAGCTCTCTTCCCATTCACAGTCGCGGCGACATATGACCTTCCACAGAGCCCCTACGTCTATAGGAAGCATTGAGGAGATGAAAAGGTAGCTCATTACTAATAGCAGTTGGTGGGTCGTATGTGGGCCGCAAATATGTCTCCTAGATATATTTAGGTCAAAATTTGGCCGCGGAGGCAAAGAGGTCTTGTTGACAGTTAGCGTCGTAGTCTAGTTTTCCTCGTAGGTTGGGATCGATTACCGGAGGGATCATTTAGGCATAGAGCTCTGTTGGTTGAGGTACTAATGTGCTCCGCGGCTATTCAAATGTATTTTTAACATATTTCGGTTGGGAAATCGAAGCTTTCTCCGCATTCGCAGCCGCAATACTCTTTAGTGAGGCCTCGTGAGGTGCTAAATTGCCCTGCTTAGAATGCATTTGAGTCATATGCTTGATATGTTCTTCGTTTGTAGGCTCAATGGTGTGTTGCATTTCCTCAGTTGTACTTGTTTCGTGATGCAAATACTGTTCGGATTGCGTCTCAAAAGTCTTCCATGGAATGTGGTTATCGTCATATTCACCCTCCTGCTCTTGCTTTTGCCGCTTTGGTTGTGGCTCTGGAAGAGCACGTTTTTGGTCTGGCGTTCTCGTTTCATAGACGCACAACAAGGATTTACCACGCTTGAGGCAGGTTTGACAATAAGGAACTTCACGGTTGCATCTAGTTTTCGAATTGTAGCATGGTCGACAGGAACGAAGAGGAGTTGCGGAGGAATCGAAGGTTATAATGGGGAAGCGGTACGCCATTGCTTTGGACCTGTGAAACAAGATGTATAGCAGCTATTTGGAAACGTGGGTACAGCAACTGGTGGCAGACGATAACTCTGGCATGCACTGTAACAAGATATGTCGAACAGTCTTCTCAGGAGGTGGTATCTGTATTGCTGCCAGGCAATCCTTGTGAATGATGCGACGTTGGTACTGTAACGCAGAGAAATGAGTGTACAAAAGTGGTGACCGTAGCGCAATACGTTCGAGATAATGAAAAGTTATATGGGTAGAAGTGGATCCTTAGATGGAGGAGGAGAAACGCTACTTATAATGCCTGTTGTCTCGTAAATTATCCTATGTTCAAATATGTTGCCAGATTCTTGATGACTACAGTCGGATTGTGGATTCAGGATAAGCTCCTAGGAAGTGCTTCCTTCATCCTAGGAGTAGTCGAGATATTAACCCAAGTACTAGCCATCCATTCCAAGAGCTCGTAATGAAACCTTGGGAATGCCTCGCAGAGATGTAGGGGATGCTGGTGGTGGGGCTGTGTCATACGCTAGCTGGCCGAAAAAGCGCAATGTTTGGTCAGCGATCAGACATCGGAACTGACAATATGCTCGAGCCCTGACAGGAGGAGTTCCCAATATTAAAAAGCCAAGACCGGTATTCAGGGACTTGCATTGCCTATCCTGGGAGTTGCTCCACCTTCCCTGGGCTCGGATCTCTGCTGCAAGCTAAAGTTAGAGGTCTGAAATATCTTTTGGTAGGAAGGGGGGATTGAGAACTGTCAAATAACTAAACCTCTTCTGTATACTATTACACTCAGTAGTTCCCCTCTGTTTCCTTCATCATTTTCGCCATGTCGCTTTAGCCCAATTCCTAAAAGCCAAGTGATGAAGGAGAGGGGTCCCCTTCCACCACCCTTGGTAGTGGGTACGAATCTCAAGCAGCCCTAAAAGCTCATACATCGTCTTATGAGGCCATTGGCATGCATTTAGCTTTGATTTTGCTAAAGAAGAACTATGTGAGATCATATAAATGGACCGCTCCTCTCGTTAAAGCAATCAGCAGAGCGTCTCGATCTTGGTTAGGCAACTAAGGCAAATCCTTTGCTGCTGCTGTTTTCCCCCTCTAGAGAAGCTTGTGGCTTCCTATTTATTGACACCTTCTTTCCCTAGGATGCCGGATACGCTTAACAGGAGGAAGAACCGGCCGGCCCACCGGCACCACGTTGGTATAATCCAGCTATATTTCAATTCTTTTAATTTGAACTGATAGCCGCACAACTAGTCTGGGAGTTACTATTTCAGGACATATGATACTTATTGTCAAGGCTATCCAGATATCGTTCCCTGCGTTACTCCAAGTCGTAAACCAGACTACGTATTCCATTTTATCTCAGAGCCTGCCACCAATACAAGGATTTGAAGGCAACCTTCATCCCCCCATGAATTTCGCACGGTGAATGGCCCTCTTTAGTTGTTATCTACATTGGTTCAAAAGCTTAGCCCTACGGTATCAACATATCAATTATCGATGAAATAAGAATCAAATACGATTGATGTGTCTCAGGAATGCACAAGAACTAACTTGCGTTTGTCCAATTTCTTATTTTTCCAACTGCAAGCCTTTTTGAACTGGGGACGGAGGCGCGAAGACGATGTCAAGTTACTTCGCAATTTAAAGTGTGGCCATTAATCGATCCACAGGCGGTGTTGGGTGCTCTAAGAACCTCTGAGCCACCACTGAGCCAGACCTAAGCCAACCCTGAACCAACCCTGAGCCTACCCTGAGCCTACTCTGAGCCTACCCTAAGCCAACCCTGAGTCAACCCTGAGCCTACCCTAAGCCTACCCTGAGCCAACCCTAAGCCTACCCTGAGCCTACCCTGAGCCTACCCTAAGCCTACCCTGAGCCAACCCTGAGCCAACCCTGAGCCAACCCTGAGCCAACCCTGAGCCAACCCTGAGCCAACCCTAAGCCAACCCTGAGCCTACCCTAAGCCTACCTTAAGCTTACCCTGAGCCGCTGAGCTTATGTAATCCCACATGAGGGGAAAAATACCGTGAGTTCCCCGCATTGTATTGTCGTACATGATCATTCAGCACCATCCCAACGCCGACGTGTAATGTATGGTAAAATTGAACATACCGGAAGAACTGTGTCGTAACTCTCAGTACGCAGCCCGGCGTTCCATGTCATTAATGGGCCATTCTCAATATTGGCTAGTCCGGGCACCCAGCGTCTGGGTACCCTCTTTTAGTTCGAGAGATTGGGCGCGTCGAGAGTTTTTTCAACCTGAGAGCCTGTGCGCCTCCGTACTAGGCTTTGGTTTTGATCAACGCCATCATCCGTTGAGATTGTACCATATTAACAGGAAGTGAATACTGGATTCAATCTTACAAAATCTCAAAATAAATATCGTGATGCCCGATCAAATTCCAGAGCACCGGTTCCCACAATACCACCTCCTGTGCGTAGCGGCGACGGATCATTTCAGCATGTCTTCGAATATGCATTTACGCAATTCATCATCCCTACACAAAATGTTTTAGATATTCTAGACGATTATATCGGTAATGTCTCAACGTTGATTATGTCAAGCAATAAGAACAATGGGGAAAGATGGCCGTCTTTTCTTCAAAGTTGTGCTGTAGTACACTTTGATTGACCCCTCGCTCCGCCCGGGGAATTCTCGTGAAAATTGCTTGACCACCTCTGACCAAGCGAGGTTTTACTCGTCCCTTAACTTCATTAGAAGGTGATCTTCCTCCACAGACCACTTTAGTCCCTTTCTTGAAAAGGCGTGCTGCGCATCAGTCACTTCAGTGTTCAAGCTCGTATGACCACGGTCGCCGGTCCTACCGTCACATTTGTTTGATGGAGAAGCAACAGCGGCGCTCAAGGGCGCAGAAGCGCAATGAGTTAACGCACCCTTAAAAAGCCAGGACAGGAATTGTAGTCGGTCTTCGACTGAAAGGGCCGAGAATTAGGCACGGACTATAGTGAAAGAAATGCTCTGACGATAACCCGAACTTTTCTTAGACCGAGTAGAGCTAATTCTTGTATACCTTTCTCTCGTACCCGAACCTTTTTTTATTTTTGAGGCCTGGCATTCACTATCCATCATCCCCTTTGAATTCCGTCTGCGTTAAAGAGATGAGACTTTGTTCTAAGAGCGAATAAACTCCGGGGGGCATTCTTCCGGGTGCGTTGCGATACCGGCGATACTCATAGTTATTTGAGCCCGTTCGGTAACCGGAGATACATAGTCATTAAGGATTGCAGGATCGATAGTTTCAAAATTTAGAAGCTCTCTATTCTAAGTAGGGATTCTAAGATCAACACTTTGAGGATGCTAACGGGCAAAATCGATAGGATCCGAGTCACCTAACCCTAAGTCGAGGAACTAATGCTCTGTTTCCTAATGGATATAGACCTGGACAAGTCCCATGGACCCACTCCCACGAGAAAGTCTTGGCAGTCAAAATTAATGCCAAGACCGATGATCGCTACCTATTTAGGTAATTATATTACCTAACTAGGTTTAGTGTAGTCCCATGGGAGTGATGGGACCAGGATATGGGACCAAAATTTTCTTAGTCCCATGGGAGTTGGCAAGGTCTAAATGGATATTATCGGTAAAACTTATAAAAGCGACGTTATCGGCACTAACTATGCTTTATGGTTACAAGATATTCTCGAAGTTGAGAGGCTCCGGGTCACTAATAGCTGAAAGTGTCTGACCCAAGCCCTCCGATTCTCGTCGAGTGGGTGGAGCCTCGGAATCTAACCTATCTACGTAGACCTCCGTCGGCGGGCGGGTAGGAAGGGGGTGTCGCTTAGTGTTACGGAACTAGCCTAGTTGTGCAACTTAGACGGGTTTTAAGAACAAGAAGGTTTCGTTGAGGAGAGGAGTTCTCCTGAGCTAACAAATGTGTACATATTCCGTCGAAGGCGGTAACGTTTGGCAGATTCCGCGCAGCATAAGCAAGCATCTTCCATAGGGCTTCGTACGAAGTACGACGGCCCCATAACACTTAGGTTTATAGGAATAAATTTTTTAGCTCTTTGAGCTATAGTCGCTAGAATTAGAGCTTAGCGGGGTGGTAGTGATCGAGACCGGACTTAGGTAGCGATAAGTACCGGGGGGATCGCGTAATGGCTGAGCTTTGTCTTAGAAAGGGTTCCATAGACGAAACGATTCTAGGCGAAAATTGGTGCTTGACATATTGAGAAAGGTGGACAGCCAGAAGAATCCTGTAGTTATAGTTTTAAACCTAAATAAGACTAGGGCGGTGAGATACGGGGGTATAGGATATAGAGTAGGGGCGAGGGGGAAGGGAGAGGGGGTATTGAAAGGTTTCTATCTGATTGAGCATTCGAAGAGGATTGCTAACTCCTTTATAGACGAGGGTTGCCTTTGGCGGCGTAGAGGATTCGGTCCACCTCCTTTAATCCGAGCCGTTTTATCTAAGGCGTGGAGCTACATAGGTTGCACAATAAGGGGCCGAAGGCCATCGGCAAAAGCTTCCGCACACCTCGGTGGCGTCCTATTATAACCCGGTTCCATAGTGGTCGTCAGCCTGGCCTCTAATCGCTTATATATACGCTAGTCAGGGGCCGTCTATAGAATAGACCATCGTCGGCCTCGTGACGTAGTACTTGGCATCGACTAAGATTAGGTAAGGATGCGGCAATTTCGCTATTGGTCCGTATAACGGTATTGTCGTCCGGAGTCTCGTCGACCTAGTAATAACGGCTAAGAGAAACCGACTATAACGATAGTCTTACCCCGAGGCACTCTCGAACGAGCGGACCAGGGTGCACCTTTAGCACTAGGGGCTGTACAATATAACCTCGCACGGACTATGGTAAATTAAAGCGTGCGTGTCGAGGATTTCCAAGACACTGTTTTCCGGCCGAGCAAAAATGCGAGTAGAATGAGCGAGGCGCTTAGCGAGAAAGGCTCGTAAACAACATATGTTCTCGAGAGCTTCATAGTACAATCAAAGTAGGCGAGAATAGTAGTATTATATCACATAGGATGGTAAGGGCTTCGTGATCTCGAAGCATCAACTTATAAGGGACCGGTCCGCGTTGTAGGCAACGCTAGCTAGAACCGGCTAAGTGGTGGATCGAGCGATATCTCCGGTGAAATAAAAGGGGCGATGTATTAGGTAGCGAGCTAGTGCGTAGAAGTTGGTGGGGACCGAGCGAAAGGGGGTTAGATAGGAAAAAAGAAGAGAATGTGCGTCGATAGAGCTGCGAAGTGGACGAGCGGTGTTTTATAGATAGAGGATAGGTTGAGGGGCGGTAAAAGCGGCTAGAGGCGGCACTAAACCCGAACGGGAGTGAGGGTGAGGGCGCCAAACCCAAAGGGGCAAGGGGATGGCGGAGACGGGCAGGCGGTCGAGGGCGGCAGGACGGCGGTGTAATGAGAGCCGTTTCTGGCCCCCCGCTTGCCGTCGTGTGGAATACTATATCTTCCTTAGTATCACTAATTAGTTTAAACGAGGTAGTAACTATACTACTTACCTCTATTAAAGCTACGATCTCCTAGGAAGATAGATACTCCTAGAGAATTAGCCGCTAATTCTCCTATAGATTAAACCTTATTATATATATAAATATTATAATATCCTAGATTATCTTCGGTTTTAGTAAACCTCGCCGGTAATAATAAATATCACGCGTAGAGTTAAATAGTCGCTCTACGCCTATACTAGTAGCTAGGATAGATATAATATCACGGGTAATACTTATAACGTATTTCACTACCGAGCTGCGCACACCACCGAGCTGCGCACACCACCGAGCTGCGCACCCCACCCAAAACGCGTCCCTAAATTTGCACTTAATCAATTCAACCACCCACCATGCCACCAATTCGCTCTCAAAGCTCTCGAAATTCAATAGAGCAAGAAGGCAGGATCTTATTAGCTACTCAGGCTATTCAGAAACAAGAAATAAGCTCTGTTCGTGAAGCAGCACGCCGATTTAACGTACCCGAATCGACACTCCGGACACGCCTACGTGGCGTTCAACACCGCGCGACTTCTCGTGCTAATTCTCATAAACTAACACAAATTGAAGAGGATTCTCTTCAAAAATGGATTCTCTCTATGGATTCTCGGGGATCAGCACCTCGGCCTTCTATGGTTCGAGAAATAGCGAATCTTCTTCTCGAAAAGCGCGGAACTACCCCGGTCTTTTTAGTCGGCGAAAATTGGGTTACAAAATTTGTGAAAAGGAACCCTCTCCTCTCCTCCCGATTCTCGAGACGCTATAATTATAAACGTGCGAAGTGCGAAGACCTAAAGATTATTTAGGAGTGGTTTGATCTTGTTTAAAATACCATCCTTCAATTTGGAATCGACCCCGATAACGTTTATAACTTTGATGAGACTAGTTTCGCAATAGGGTTAATCGCTACTGCGAAGGTGATAATAAGGAGCGAATTCTACGGTCGGCGCTCGCTTTTACAACCTAGAAATCGCGAATGGGTGACTACTATTGAGTGTGTAAATGTATCGGGTTAGGCCCTCCCTCCGTGTATTATTTTTAAAGGCAAAGTCTACTTAGAATTATGGTTCGAAGGCCTACTAAACGACTAGCGAATTGAAGTTAGTCCTAATGGTTGGACTTCAGATAAAATTGGACTTCGCTAGCTTGAAAAGCTCTTTATTCCTAGCACTTCTCTTCGTACGAAGGGGAGGTATAGGCTGCTAGTTCTTAACGGACACGGAAGCCATTTAACCCCGAAATTCGATGAAATCTGCGAGTAAAATAGGATAATACCTATCTGTATGCCTCCGCACTCCTCTCACCTTTTACAGCCTCTTGATATCGGCTGCTTTGCTGTGTTAAAGCGATTATATAGTCGGTTAGTGGAGATGAAAATGAGACGCCAAGTTAATCATATTGATAAACTTGATTTCCTCGATTTATACCCACTCGTACGAATCGAAGCTTTTAAATCGGAGACTATTAAGAATAGCTTCGGAGCAGCTAGTTTAGTCCCTTTTTCACCAGAAAGAGTGATCTCGAAGCTGAATATTCAACTTCGAACCCCAACACCCCCTCCTAGTAGGGGGAGCGATTTAAGCCGGAATTTCACACCAAAAACACCTGCTACAGAGAAAGAACTACGTCGACAGGCTTCGTCAATCAAAGCTTTACTTCGTACGAGGTCTCGAAGCCCGCCTAGCCCGTCAGATCGTGCATTAAACCAGCTTGTGAAAGGCTTCCGTCTCACAATGCAAAGCGCTATTTTATTAGCGAAGGAAAACCAGGAATTACGCGCTGAAAATGAGAAGCAGAAGCAAAAGCGGACTAGATCCCGAAGGCATATTGCTTCTGAAGAGGGCCTTTCAATTAAAGAAGCCTCTGCATTAATTTTGCAGCAACAGGGAGCAAGTGAAGCACCTCCCCCGGCCCTGGCACCTCTAGAGAATCGGCTATTCAGCCACGTACTCGGCCCCCCGGGGGTGTGGAATATGCAGATTACCAGGGCATCGAAGGGAAACATGTCCAAATAGACCAATTAATTAGTTGAATTAATTTAATGTGTTTTGGTTGAGATAAATGCCTTTGAAATTGATCGGGTGATTTAGGTGCGCAGCTCGGTGGTGTGCGCAGCTCGGTAGTGAAATACGTTAAGAATCGGCTATTTATATTAGTTTTCTTTCTAGAATACACGAGGTAATAAACGCTACGGGGCTAGATATTTATTAATATTAGTTAGATATAAAGGATAAGGATAGATCGTTAGACTTACTAGAATTAAGATATTAAGTTAGCTTATCCTCCTATAGAGTGTTACGGAACTAGCCTAGTTGTGCAACTTAGACGGGTTTTAAGAACAAGAAGGTTTCGTTGAGGAGAGGAGTTCTCCTGAGCTAACAAATGTGTACATATTCCGTCGAAGGCGGTAACGTTTGGCAGATTCCGCGCAGCATAAGCAAGCATCTTCCATAGGGCTTCGTACGAAGTACGACGGCCCCATAACAATACCCCCCCCCCCTAGGACAATGACTGTTTGCTTCAATAGACGCCAGATTAGGAATCAATGGGAGAAGCAAACAAAATCGTGGCCTATGATTGGCCGAATAGGGCAAACGTGTTCGACGACGTCGTTGCTTTGTAGCATGTGGGCTGTAGTTGGAAGGCATAAATAGGTCCTCAATTCCCTTCTTCTTCTTCTTTTTTTTTATTTTTATTCGCAGTCTCCAAACCTCCTGTCAACCATGGAGTCGTCTAACTTCAATCTTCTGTCGTACGACCCGCGTCAAGTCGAACCCTCCTCCCGGCGTATGCTCCTGCCCCTGACTCGCATTGAGCACGGAGGGAAGCAGTATGTCAAGGTCCGTCTGACTGCTGCGGGAAACGAAGCCCTTCGAATGCTGTGCTTCACTCCAGTGCAGCGGGAAGTGTGGAGCTGGCCCTCTCCCTCCGCCCTCTGTTGTAGAGGAGCTCATTGACTAGACCGTACGAGGCTTAGCACTTTTCATAGACGCAATCAACACACAATATCGAGGTTTCTAGACTCAGTTAGCACTAGCACGAAGCGTAGTAGCTAGCCTTATCAAGGGACCCATCGATCTTTCTAAACGGTGCGGTCTTCTGTAGCCACACGTCTAACGCTATTGTGTCCTTGAGTGCGTCCGCTGGCTCTGTGGTTGGTCTCGTGTAGCCTCTCCACTTAACCTTGTAGCTCGTACGAGCGTTGTTCCTCCTGCGTGTTTGTGTCTCATCTATAATTTCTTCGATCTCCCACTCTTCTTGGTCGTCGACTATGATTGCTGGTGGTTGCGGTTCGTGTGCCAGTTGGGACGGAAGGGGGTCTTGTGTCGCGAGTCGTACGAGGTTAACATGGAATACTGGGTGAATGCCGGGTGGCGTATCCAGTCGTACTGCGTGGGAACCAATAACTTCCTGAACCCTATATTTTGCGTTCTTCCAGTCGAGCTTCTTGCAGGGTCGTTCGGTCTGTATATTTTTCAGGTTTAACCAAACAGCGTCTCCGACTTGGAAGGTAGGCGCCGGTTGTCGGTGCCGGTTAGCGTTTGCTTCCATCTGTTGGTTGGCGTAGGCTATCGATGCACGTGCCCAGTCCATAGCTCCAGCTAGCTTTCGTACGATCGTTTCTGCTTTTTGGATTGGGCTTGGTTCTGGCGTGGTAATGGTGCTGTTTATACGCGGTTCCTCGATTGGTGGGTCAAATGGAGAGAGGTTATAACCGTGGGTTAGGAAGAAAG